TATCTATCTATCTATCTATCTATCTATCTATCTATCTATCTATCTATCTATCTATCTATCTCTCTATCTTGAACAAGGGGTTGGTACTGAGTATACCTTATTACCCCAACATGCATATTTTGAGTCTGCAGAAGAGTTCAGTACACCTTCATTGAAAGGGAACTTTGCAAAGATACAGCAGGATCTGGAAACAAGAGTATTCTCTGCAAAAAAAGAATAATCTATAACAACATCCATCATCTATTTAGCTGTATTTCACAACATCTCAGATTTTAGTGAGCCACTGAAGAGGCACCAGAGGAAGAATGATGGAGAGCAATGGTTTGTAACTCTCTATCCTCCGCCAAGATCGAATTTGCCTGACTTTTATACCCCTTCTTTGAAAATCCTCCTCTTGCATTTAATGGGTTGTTTGTTCCCAAATCCCCTCTAGTGGGAAAAGCTCTCAGTTTCCAGATGCAATAAAAAACAACAACATGCTAAATGGACTTGGGATTTAGCTGGGATCACCTGGTCTCTTATCATTTGTCATTGTTCTCAGCGTGCCCGAAATGGTTGGTTAAGTAAAAATGAAATTTGCCATATCTCTGGGGAGGCAGGAGAGGAGGCCCATAAGAGACCCATAACCAAAACAGCAATATTAATATTATCAGTTTTACAACTCTAATAAAAACGGGGGTGTTTAAATGGCTCCAATCTGCTTTAAGATGCTGTTTCTTAATTCTGGGGCAGAATATGCTTTCCTCCAAAATGGGGGTAGCTCATTCCAAAGAAAGGGATGTGGTGGCTCAGTGGCTAAGAAACTGAGCTTGTCAATCAGAAAGGTTGTCGGTTCAGCGGTTCGAATCCCTAGCGCCGCGTAACAGAGTGAGCTCCCGTTACTTGTCCCAGCTTCTGCCAACCTAGCAATTCGAGAGCACGTAAAAATGCAAAAATAGGGACCACTTTGGTGGGAAGGTAACAGCGTTCCATGCGCCTTCAGTGTTTAGTCATGCTGGCCACATGACCACGGAGACGTCTTCGGACAACGCTGATTCTTTGGCTTGAAACAGACATGAGCACTGCCCCCTAGAGTTGGGAATGACTAGCACATATGTGTGAGGGAACCTTTACCTAATTCCAAAGCTGTTGACAATTTTTAATTTTAAGACAGAAATAGGAGAAAATGATTAAATATCAGGAAGCAATCATATAGACCGGTGCTTCCCAAACCTGGGTAAAAGGTGGTTTTTTTTGGAGGGGGGGGGGGGTTACCAACACACAAACTGATTACCCAATCACAAAAGGGATGTTTAAACTGATTTAAAATATTTTGCCTACATTGGCTAAAAACAACTTCCTGGTTAATGGTTAATAAAGGAAAAAGTTTGGGAAAGTTTGCAACTGTTAGCAAACCTTGATTACTGGACTGATTATATGATACTGGACTATGTTATTTGGATTATCCCTTTACTGAGAGACGTTGATAACTGACTGAATTATCCGTGTATGACTTGGACTGTTTGATGGACTCTGATACCTTTATTTCCACGAAAGTAAAAACCTATTTAAACTGCAGTGTCTCTGTATGCTGGTTTGTGTGTCTTCCAACACAACTCTCACAACGCTTCGCTGAACATACTCGCTCTCCCATCGGGGAGCTTACCTAACAAGCGCTAATGTAGATTATTATTTGTGAGAACATAAGTGCAGCTGGCCATCAAATGAGAAGGAGGGACTCACTGGAGAAGAGCCTAATGCTGGGAAAGACTCAGGGCAAAAGAAGAAGGGGACGACAGAGAATGAGGTGGCTGGATGGAGTCACCGAAGCAGTAGGCATGACCTTAAATGGACTCCGGGGGATGGTAGAGGGCAGGAAGGCCTGGAGGAACATTGTCCATGGGGTCACGAAGGTCAGACATGATTTCACAACTAACAACAACAAAGCAACCGGTTGGACAAGGGAGACCCAAATTCTTTGGTAGCCTCACACTGCAATGAACAAGGACATGCACTCGATATCACAACTACTATGATTGTTGGCTGAGCAGGGAGAAAAATAGCTAGAGAGATGAATGAAACCTGGGAAGTGGGCTCCTTGTCAGTCAACAGGAGTGCTGATTTACCACCAACTTATCAGATACTTAGCAGCCGAGGACCTGGCACAGAGAAACAGCAATCAACAACTTAATAGCCAGCCTTCAACACACTAATTAACAACTGAAACCTACACACAACCAGGCACTATGTAGAACATGTCAATGCACACTTTGGAGACATTCCCTATGATGAGCTCCAGCATGAATCCCAAAGCTTGGAAGAATAAAACTTTGGTCCCAGTGACCGACTCAGATTAGATCCTACAGTGTTATCCTGGGACACATATATTTACTTCATTCGTGAGATGGTTGTTTGCTGCTTAGAGTTGATAACAGTGGAGCAACTCGTGAGTCCAGGAAATAAATAAATTCTTATTCTGATCTCACCCACTTTTGGGAGAACCAACCAGCCCGCTTACTGAATTTGGCTGATTGCCCCAGGCAGTTACAGGATTCCCAAGCTGTATTTCACGGAGCAATGGTGTTATGTACGTATGGTGTTATTGTCCTTAAAGGGCAAGCCCCGCCTTCCTAGCTAGCAGAGCGTAATACCCAGGCTTGGAAATAAAGAAGTGCTGAACATCTTCTAGTCTCTCGACTGCTATTTTCGCGCCAATCTAACACTGGTGACGAAGGTGGGATTGAAGGTGTCCAGCGGCGAAGCAAGGCTGCGGAGAGCGAGGAACCCTGGTCAGAACTCAATTCATGGCATGAGGAATTCCAGGAGGTTCCATCCCCGAAGGCGGGAGAGGCAACAGGCCCGACCGCATCAGCTGAGATCCCAGGAACAAGTGAGTTGCGAAGGTCCAGTAGGAGTTCAACGCGCCCCGCCTACTTGTGAGATTACGTCACGTACATCGGCCATGGGTTGGACACTGTTCATTCTAGGAGGGGAGGGGTGTTACGGACGGACAGACGTAGCACAGATTTGCCTGTCCCCGCGGATTGGTTCGCCAAGCCGCAGGAAATGTAAGTTTCTATCATTGGCCGGCTGGTCTGCCGGAGCTCCTTAAAGGCCGAGCCCCAGCTGCTTAGCTGGCAGAGCGTAATACCCAGGCTTGGAAATAAAAATAAGTGCTGAACGCTTCTAGTCTCTCCCCTGCTATTTTTTGCGCCGATCTAACAAATACCATTATGGGTTATCAATTGGGATTTATTAAGGCATGCCAGCATGTTCCGCAAAGGAGATTGGTCTTGGTCAAGGAAAGGTTGCCCTTGCCTGATTCTCATTCTCCTGCATTCCACAAATGAAGTCCCAGGTGAATCTGGGAAAAAATAATAATACACACACACCACACACACACACACACACACACACACACACACACACACACACCATACCTACCTGGGGGTCTTGTATGATTACGGCTTTGTCAGGACTGCTCAGGGAGATGTTGTACACAAAGAGCATCAACAACCCTAAGGGCACCATGTAGGGCTCAAAATGCCACACGGTGGTCACAAACACCTGGGAAAAGAGAAGAGGGGGGTTAGCTGTGTTATTTGCATTGGGCTCCCCCAAAAGTCAAAAGATAATGTTAAAGGAGAACAAGAAAGATACAGGGGAGAAAACTTTCAAGACTCTGCATCTGAAAATAATGCTTGTAGCTGCTGCTGCTTCTTCTTCCTCCTCTTCCTCTTCCTCTCTGCTAACCTCTAATTCCTGACTGCCCATCCTCCTGAAGTTTGCATTCATGTCAGATACATCAGCCTGGATGCTTTTATATTCCTTGGTCCAAGAGTAATCTGCAAGGATGGCTTGCATCACCTTCTCCTTTTATATCTTATACGTGTATCAACAAGGAAAGCGGATAAATTTATACAACAGGTTTCAAGCACCTGCAAATACAGACACATGCAACGAATGTAACAGGGTAGGGAAAAAATTGCCTCCTGCAGAACACAATTTATTTGTAAAGGAACATCTATTGTTGTTGTTTTTTAGATTACCAGAGTTGGAAGGGTCCAACCCTTGCACAAACAGGAGACCCTACACCATTTCTGACAGAAGGCAGTCCAAACTCTTCTTGAAAGCCTCCAGTGATGAAGCTCCCGCAACTTCCGAAGGCAACTTCTGTTCCATTGGTGGATTGTTCTCACTGTCAGAAAGTTCCTCCTTATTTTCAGGTTGAATCTCTCCTTGATCAGTTTTCATCCATTGTTCCTTGTCTGGCCTTCAGGTGCTTTGGAAAATAGCTTAACCCCCCCCCCCCCAAGAAAACCCCCCAAAAAATGGAAAAACGCCAACAACGCCCCCCCTGGTCCTTCTCTTCACCAGACTAACCATGCCCAGTTCCTGCAACCGTTCTTCATATGTTTTAGCCTCCAGTCTCCTCATCATCCTGGTTGCTCTTCTCTGCACTCTTTCTAGAGTCTCAACACCTTTTTGATAATCATGAGGGAGCTCTTGGGAATGTTTTCCCCCTTCACAAGCCCAAATGCTGATGGGTGATTTGCATGCAATTTTCAACTGCCCTTTGGATCATTTGTGAGAATTTGGAGCAGGCGTGTTGAAAACCACGTGTAGTCATTTGGATTGAGATGGGAAGTAAATGGAATTGTGTAAGGTCTAGAATAGACACTACAGATGGAAAGTAAAAGAAACAGAAAGGGGGTCTCTAAACTCATCCCTTCCTTTGGATGCCTCCACAAATGCAAAGCTTGGTCCTTGCCCAACAAAAGACCATCCAACACCCCCCACACACAATTCACATTTGCCTATCTCATCAACATCTGCCTCCAAGTAGTTGTCCCTGAGCCCAAACTTGACAGTCTTAAGTTTAGTCAAAGTTCACATTTTCTCTTTGCAGATTTTTCTTTAAATAGAACACAGATAATCCACTCCTTATTCACCTGAGATGGAAAAGTTTCATAGGGAGGGAACCTTACCAGGGAAACACCTTATACTCAGTTGAGAAAGAAGGGATTCACTGGAGGCAGAATGGGACAACTTGCCACAGCCAATTCACCATGGCCAACTTGCGGCAGGACAACTCGCCGCGGGACAATTGAACAATTCTATTTAATTATTTAAAATAAATTTTAAAAGTTTTTACTTTTCGCCATTCACATTTCATTCTGTCTCTCCTTTTGCATTCTTTCTTTAATAATTTTAGCCTACTATTTCTTTGATATTAGTGTAACTCTTGTCCTGCAGCGAGTTGGCCATGGCAAGTTGGCCATGGCGAATTATCATACACCCCAGCAACACAATTACATTTCTAAATTAGAACTAGTATTATTCCGACAAAGGCTGTAAGAAGTATTTTAGGAGGGCATCCTTGCAAAACACCATTTCTCACAGTGCTAAAATCCTTGTCCTTTCAAGGCACCCAAAGACTCTGGCGGCCTGGGCACGTGCCATTCCATGTGTAAATATTTCTCCTTGGCGGCTGGGTTTCAACAGCTGAGATTAAGCGCGCATGTAGTAAAGTCGCCCTTGAGGAAAGTTCAGCTCCTAACGACATGGATGGAAAGAGCGAGAAAAAGACACAGAGGTTCTCTTGGCAACCCAACAGAGGCAGTTTCCCACCACTTCCTAATGGGGATCCAGCCAAGGATTAACCAAGATTCTGCTTCATTTGCTCAAGTTCGGGCAACATCAGAGAGGAGCTATCACCCGTTTGATACCAGTACATGGCCGCTTTGATAGAAACTCCCACTTTCACTATTAAGATAGTGTTTACTATCCTTTCAACTGATGGCTGAGGAGAGATTTACAACTTTTTTTTTTTTGCCAGAGACAAAAAAAATCCCCTAGAAATCTGTTTTGGGGAGTGCTTAAGAAGCAGAGCTGAAGTCCAAAGTAGCAACTGCTTTCTAGAAGATTCTGGGCAGTTTACAAACTCTAGATTTTACAGATTAACAGAGTAGGAAGGGAACTTGTAGGTCACCAAGTCCAAGCCTCCCCTCATCCAAGCAGGACACCCTACACCATTTCTGAAAGATGGCAGTACAATCTCTTCTTGCAAGCCTCCAGTGATGAAGCTCCCACAACTTCTGAAGGCAACTTCTGTTCCATGAGTTGATTGTTCTCAATGTCAGAAAATTTCTCCTTATTTCCAGGTTGACTCTCTCCTTGATGACTTTCCATCCATTATTCCTTGTCTGGCCTTCACGTGCTTTGGAAAATAGCTTGTCCCCACTCTGTGGCAGCTCCTCAAATTTGGAAGACTGCTATCATGTCTCCCCTGGTCCTTCTCTTCCCCAGACTAGCCATGCCCAGTTCCTGCAACTGTTCTTCATGTGTTTTAGCCTCCAGTCCCCTAATCATCCTGGTTGCTCTTCTCTGCACTTTTTCTAGAGTCTTCACATCTTTTTTACATCATGGCGACCAAAACTGGATGCAGGGCTCTAGGTGTGGTCTTACTAAGGCTTTATACTTTTTTTATTTTATTTTATTTTTTCTTTCTTTTTTTTCATTTTATTTTTTAAATATAAACATTCCATCTTTCCTTAAACAGTGTGTCATCTGGGTACAAATATCTCTGTGCAATAACCATCAAAATTTACCTTCTCTCCTTCCCTCCTTCCTTTCCTCCTTCCTTCCTTCCTTCCCTCCTTTCTTTTCTCCTTCTCTCCTTCCTTTCCCCCTTCCTTTCCTCCTTCTTTCCCCCCTTCCTTCTCTCCTACATTCCCTCCTTCCTTCCCTCCTTTCTTCTCTCCTTCTCTCCTACTAAGGCTTTATAGAGTGGTGTTAGTAACCTCACTTGATCTTTGGTTCCAAGACAGCCTCATGGGCCAGATCCGACTATATCATGGGCCGGATTCAGCTCATTGGCCTTGTGTTTGACACCTCTGGTATAAGATCTCCTGCCTTGAGAACGGACTAGAAGACCTCCAAATCCTTCCAGCCCTCTGATTCTATGAAATGACTTCCTAGCATTAATTCCCAATGAATCTTTCCAGAGTCAATTGGTTAGGGGTGCCCTTTTTCCTTCATCCAAAAGGACTGATTTTTTTTCTAACAATCCTTCCATTCCTGAATTGCTATTTCAATGTAAAATGGCTTGTCTGCTGCTACCGTTTTTCCCTACCCTGGAGTCATTCTAAGCATGGATCATTTCCAACCCACCCGCTTCGTGTCTGTTAAGGACTGAGCCAAGTGGAACCAGTCTTCTTCTCGTGCCATAGAAGAAAATCACTCTTTTATTGTACAACAGCCCATAAAATATAAAGGGTCACCGTCAGAAAAGGAAGGGGATGAGCTTTGCATATGTGCTACGAATCCAAATCCACAGGAGATTTAAACACAGTTACCATTTTTTATTGACCCATAATGTCTGCATTACAGAATGCACTAAAATAATCAGATGGCATTTTAAATATATCTCCGTTTCTAAATTAAGAGGAAGGGTGGAGAACGAGGAGAGCCCATAATATTGCCAACAGCATGACTAGGCAATAAAACTGCCCCTAATCCCTCAGGTCATTCGCTTTCCAGGCACAAAAACCATCAGAAAAAAAGGCCAGGGAAGAAAGGAATTTAAAACAGCCGCTTCTGCTTAAAAAAGAGAAAAATTAAAGCCGAATGAGAACTCAAGGCATGTGTCGTGTGGTTTTGAGACTAGGCGCTACCTGTTTATTAGAAGAGCCATGTTGGCACATCGGGGAAAACCCAAATCTGAAAGCTTCCAGGTTTTCCACACCCAGCTGAAAGTTCAAGACCCTGCCCCAGCACCCACATGTCCATCCCATGGCCCAATCAGTCACTGCCACGAAGGAAGATTCCTCCCATCCATGTCAGTCCAGCTGCAGGGACAGTATGACCTTGACTCTCTGAGAAGGAGTGTTGTTTTGGCTACGTATTCCCATGCTCCACTCAACACCCACCCCCCCCAGTTTCCCACAGTAGAATATGTCTTCTTCTCCGTCTCCTTCTCCTTCCTGTGCCTCATGGCTGGCATGTTACCTC